TGAAATAATATGCAGGGTATCTAAGTGTGATTCCCCGAATATCTTTTTTGTGAAAACGTAAAAGATATTTTATACGTAATTTGAATGGTATTAAGTGGTCAGTATCCTGTCGGGGTTGTTTCTTTCAAATGTTTTTTACTCCAAATTTTCAAAGTCACAATATAGTGTGAAACGAGAGCTGTGTCAAAGCTTCTGTTATGTTGTCCGCCTTAGGTGATTCGAAATCTTCTGCATTCAAACGTAAAAAATATTATTTCACCACGAATCGAAGAATCGTGGGTGTCCTCGTTTTTGCGAAATCAAATTCGTCGGGTCGATTAACGTCCATCAGCGATTCCCTTGAAGTACAGGGGACTTAGATAGGGGGTGGGACAAAAGGATTCGATTTTTAGGTCGTAAAGTCCACGCGGCTGGCGGTCTCTCCTTCACGCTCGAGTCTCGACCATATATAGAGGGTGTCCCACCTAACGTGAACACCTACAATATCTCACTTGTTTTTGAACATACAAAAAAATGTTGGGGCAAAGCATTATTTGTTTAGAAGGAACAAACACTGATGATAAGCAAACATTTCTCTCAAGGTCATATTTTTCAAAATTTCAATGTCATCGATGTTTTTTTTAATGGAACTACATAAAGGGATCAGTGCAAAAATGTATCGAAGTTGATGGACATCAAATTTGAGCATTTAGTTAAAATAAATTTATTGCAAATCAAAAGCTAGTAAGATATGTAAGGTGCTCACGTTAGGTGGAACACCCTGTATATATATATGTGTACATTGTCTTGAGGGTCGGGCCAACGTCGTAAAAGGAATATTACCCGTGAACCACTTCTCGGGAGGGAAAAAGCTATACACGCGTCGGTTATGCTATTTCGTCTGGTGGTTTGAACCGCAGGCTGTCAAGTTCAAAGACGACGACCGATTTATGGCCGATTCGGTGAACAAGAAGGAACAATTTCACTGAAGAAAAAGATGAAACAGGTATCTCAGGTCTCTTTTGTTTGAAGATCTAGGATGGGGACGGAGAAAAGTTTCTTGGAGGGAACACTCGAGCAACAACGTGGCTGGACATGATGGACGCTTCGGAGGGAAGTTGGATTGCTTTCTCGTGGGAGGAAACTGGCGGAAGGGGAAGAGACAGGGTTGTGTTTACCGTGGGAATAAAGGAGTAATTTTCCTGGATAAAATCGGGAGGACAGTGGTTTCTTTGCTATAGATTGTCGTCCATCAGTGCTTAGGTACCTATTCTGAGTGGAATAAGTGTGATTTTAGATACACTACAGACTTCAATTTTATTGTTTTGCAGTGGGAGCTATATTACTAGATTGCTGTATATACTAGATCGCTAACTCCCCAAATTTCCTTAAAAAGCAGAAGCATTTTATTTCATATTAATTTTTCCTCTTATTTAATAGCTCAAAGGTATGTAACCCCTTAACGTTAGTTTCAGCTGCAATGTAGTATCTCCATTAATAGATGACATAAATTTCTCTGTCACTCTGGTTCCGATGAAATAGTCTACGAGGATGGTAATTAAATGCTAAATTGGGAAATCTATTGGGTGATACATATCTTTGGGTGAAGCCTGACCCTTTACATTCGTACGACACGACATATTCCTGTTCCATAATACGACTTCGTGTCACAGGTGAAAGCAACAGTTGCATTTTCGAACGCAATCTATGTGGTAGAACCAAGGTAGGTGAAATTGCGTGCATTCGTGTTTGTACGGTATCCCATAAGATTTCACGTTCTATTCGGTCCCGTTTGTTCTCTGTCGATACGTTTAATTACACAAAGTGCTCGTCCTCCGCGTTTCTATTTAATGCCCCAGAAAAGATAGTTGCATCAGAGATAGGCTTATTCATGAGAATACTGATGTAATTCCGGAAGAGCATCCGATTCATTGGGGCCATTCTTCTACCGTCGATATAAGCTCTTAATGATGAATGTCCCTTTAGTAACAACAACCAAATACAACTGAAGTAAATGCCATGTGTCTTTCAAGTTAAACCCATTTTTTGGGGAACTTGGTGATCGAAAATTTTGTAGCGTTTTGGGATTAGTGCCTGTCAATGTTGAGCACAATTTTATTCGAATAATAAACAGTGAAAAGCAACAGTATCTAAGAACACTATCCTGCTGTTTAAATAGCTAATAATTCTGATTATCTATTAAATAGACTACTAAATTACTACCTTAACCATTCATAAAAATTCACCCAAAGAATTATCAGAATAAAAATCCATCAGATGAACACGTCTTCGAGGTATGATTTCAAGGTACAATCTCTGCCAGTTTTCCGTCGATTTTCGGTTTTCTTTTTTCGCAAGAAATACAAACGCAAGACTGTCCCACTGAAAACTTTCTAGTGACAAAAATTGCTTAAAACCATACTGCTGACGATAGCGACAAACAAATGAGATTCATTCGACGTTCTAGTTTTCGAAAATTTCGCTGAACCTGCAGTATAGTAAATACTCGTATACACGAAGGGGGCGGAATCATAAAGCTGTCTGGAGGCGTGTTACAAACTTTTGTAACTTTTCATTCAATTTTTATCGGGCCATTATCCGATTCCCGTTTGCCCTCCCGTTTATATAATCCCCTTCATTTTCCTCGGTGGAGGATCGAAAATTCCGTGAAAATGTCTCACAGACCATTAAGGTTTTGCGGGGCACCGTGATTCCCCCTTATCATTGGCACCCTTCGCCCCCCTTATCGATTTTTATAGGGGGCTGGTTTTCCTCGCGATTGCCGCCAAGGGAGGTATTCTGTTGCGCGTGCAACGAACACGATGGCAACACATGGCCGTAGATGGCTGAACCGTCTTGCGAGATCGGCGAAACCCTCGCTATATACGGTAATCGCGAGGAACAGCTGCCTTCAAGGTCCTATTTACTCTTGATTCCTATTCAACGGGGAACCCTCTCAAGTCTGCGAACGGATACCATAATCCTCTGGTCTTTTACTAATAAGGAGCAGATTGGAAATTAGATTAAAGACGAAGAATTTGATGTTTAGAGATTGAGATACTGATTTTGTTACAGTAGATGGTAAAGATTCTGTTGATTTTGATTTCTGTTCGAGGAGATCCTTTTGTGACTGTGGAGGGATCGAAATCCTTGAATTACTTTCAAATTTACTCTCTATCGAAAGATCCAAAGATTTTGATTCTATTATATCCGTTAATGAAAAATGGCTTATATATTCGAACAATGGATTGTTGGTTTAATATGTAACAGTTTGTGAAAATTTCCTTAACGTTTTCCTTGATTTCCACTTACTGAGTTTCATTCAACGAGACACTAAAGAATATAATTTCCTTAACGTGATGCACTCGGTCGGATATCTAATAAAAGAAAAACAAGGACGATGCATAAACAGAAGCGGTTAATGGTATAAAAACATTGCTCGAATGGTTATGAAAATGAAAATTGCTGTACATTCATACGTGAATATACAGTTATTTCACATCGAAATGGTGCATCGCGTTATAAGATACGATTTGGGAACGCTCTCATTCAGAAATAATATCGGACGAATTTTATTTACATATCTCGACACATACACGGTGTGTCACAGAAAAAAAGGTATCCTTAGAAATACATTACTCGAACGACATTAAGAAATAATTAAAAACAATGACTAGTATTTTTACTTAATTTGCCAGAAATAACAACGTTATATTATATTAAATTCATTGAAATTAAACACTTTCGTTGCAAAGACAGTATTCTTCCTTAGGTGATGTATGTGTAAAATAAAATAACTTTCATGTTTCACGTCTCTTTAAATGTTCAATCTATTATTTGGAAATTTTCACGGTAAATGTATCTTATGATTAAATATAAAATGTGTTCATTGAAAACCGCTTTGTCACGGTCCCCTCATCCAAAACTGTTATTTTTCAAAGACACACGGTATACAGAGGATGGGACGAACGCGTCGGCGTAGGAACAATGGTTGGATATAAAATCCGGTAAAAATGTCGGCTAGCGACTCCAGTTTAACGGGACAAACGTTATTGCGCGCGTTAATGGGCGTGATTCACTGCAACTCGGAGTTTCACTCCTCCGTGTTCCACACGGCTTCAAGCCTGTTTTCTTTTTTCACATCCCGACACACTACGTTTAATATTCTCGAGTGATTCTGACGATTTTCACAACTGATGACTCTCAATTGTAAAAATCTCGGTTCTCATGAATAAAATGGCGGATCACGGAGAAAGATCCAGTTGCGTGGCCGTTATACGCATCAAAAGAAAAACAGTGGTCTTAAATAGTCAAAGCAAAGATTATCATCAAGACATGCATTCTACCGACGATGAATAATATAAACTATTATTACAGCTTATATATGTATAAATAACGAAAATTAATTCTGATTGGCTCTGCGAGCCAACTGTTTCAAAATGGCGGACGGGGCAGGGAGATTCTGTCGTACCACTATCGCCCAAACGAAACTAACAAAGCGTTTCATACACGGCCAGAATAAACAAAATAATTTTCCGTTTAATTAATTACTTAACAGAACGGAAACAGTACATAATTACGTTGCAAACAGGCTCACTGTAACTCTTTGCTCAACGAACCTTCGAACAGAAAACCGTGCACCCTAAAAAACAGAAGCAAACACAGGGTATCCAACGAATGAGGCACGAGATATTACGAATCCCTGACGCAATTTTGAATCTGCAGTATACTCGAAAAGAAAAGGGGAACTATACAATATGTACATACACCCTTTCTTCGTTCAATGAAACGGAGAGCTCTTTCGAGTATTCACGTTCTACGTTACAACCGGGAATGACGTACATACAGTTCGAAGAAAGGGGGCACAAGGTGGTCGTAGAATGGAAAAGCGGCCGTGGGAAGAAAAGCTTGGCCGAGCGTCAGCTTGAAAGAAAGCGTGTGTGAAAAGTGTCGGTGTAATGAGTCGACGCGGTACGACTCGCTTATTTTCTTTCTTTTTTTTTTTAATGAATTTTTCTCACCTCGTGAACAGAGCCGCCACCACCCACGCCAGCAGACAGAGATACATCGCCCTGGCCTTAGTGCACACGTATCTGAAGGAGAAGAATAAAAGTAAAAAAAAATGTATTAGAAAATAGAAATCGTACGCGAAAAATTAGTGGTTCTTAGCGCAGCGTATGTAGCGGTGTAACGTTTCGCGAATGCGTGACTGTCATCCGGGATCGTTGCCGTGATACACGGATCTAATACCAATCGTAACCTGGGAAAGCGGCGACAATAGAGAGAGGTGACGTTGGTAACTGTAGAGAAATCAGTGGCGGATCCGGAGGAGACACAAATCGAGTGGCGTGACTGACATCGGGGATCGACACTGTGCGTCAGAGTTGGGCAACATGTAATCTAATTACGAAATTTAAATTGCAATTACAATGTAATTGCAAGGTAATTGCGGGACAATTACCATTAGAATGACATTGTAATTTTTATTATAAATTTAGTAGAGTTAATCACGAAGTAATTTTAATTGCAATTGTCCCACAATTACATGGCAATTACATTGGATTTTGTAATTAGATTACATTTTACCCAACTCTGCTGTGCGTCAGTCGCGATTCATATCGATCGTACACTACCGTCCAGCAGAGTTATATACGTACATAGCAATATCTGAGATCATCACCCTGACTGTTAAACAGTTAATGAGATTAAATAATTATTTGCCAAGTGTCTACAGATTTCAGAAAAAATATTTCACCCTGTATGTGGTACGCAGAAGTATTTAAGAATCTCTGTTTTTTAAACTTGCATCGTGAGACATACCCCGCTCGCAGTGGCTCGCAAATGGCGTAATATCGCTCGAAACTGATCGCCAGAATCGTGAGAACCGATGCATGGGCCACGGTCAACTCCACGAATGGCACTGCTTTACCTGAAACAAGAAGAAGAGAAATTATTGTCAGTTAAAAATCATCCGAAAGAAGCGATATTATTGTGAACATTAGGATAAATCAATAATTCTTTATCCTATATTCTATATTCTACAGCGAGAAAATAAATAAACAAACGTAGAGATTGATAAAAAAAGAATGGATTAATTAAACCAATGGGTTGCATCGCATCAACCGGAAATGGATCTCGTGACATATTTTACAAATGAAGTCGTCGCAGTAATCACCGCACCAGAGGATCCTGCAATGTCCCAGATTAACTGACTACTAAAAATGAATCGTTGAGACCCGTTCCACTGTTAATACACATATCTCTTCGTAATCACCGGGCAGAACTTCTCGTACAAGAACAGATATTTCAGTAATGAATACCAGGGTCGATAATTCATTCACCGGGAATGTTTTCTACCGTATTGTATTTACTTTTGCAAGTGAAATGATTCCTGAATATATTCCATGCTTTTAATAGATCACTGTTTGTTCCAGGATATTTACCGACGAAAGAGGAAAACTAAATAATTCTCTGCAACGCGATCGACCGATTGACTTTCGGTACGTTCCACGAGCCGTGTACGAGAGTGTTCAAATATTACAAATATTACGATCGAACAGTCGTTACTACAAAGGTTAGTTAAACATTCACTTCTGTTTCCATTCATTCGGCGATATTTCCAGTTCTATTGAAAATACCTTTTCTACAACTTCTTCTATAATTATTGTACTATTAGAAGTGATATGATACTGTACATGACAAATGACAAACCAGGTTTTAAATAATTTTTACTCGTTCACTGGACTGCACTTTCCCGAGATGCTTGAAAAGTCTAAAACTATTATTTTCAATGAATTCCTGATTCCTGATATCTCTTTCGACGTTCCAAGGGTTAAGTCACCCTCCCACAGAGGGAGGAAGAGATTTACGAAAGGAAGCTCACGTCCGACGATCAGCGGTGTCGCGATAAACTGGCACGACGCCCTGGACGCTATTATTTTTCCGTTGTACCTAGCCTGCGTTTACTCGACGTATCCGCCGTTTAATTAATTCCTTTCCGTGCCTTTCCGTTTTCTTTTTCTCTAGGAAGCCGCCGTTCTTTCGCCCATATGCCTTTCGCGAGCGCAACGGGAACCAACGTACACTTACTTGAATGAGGGCAAGGACCCTCAGGGATCTTGATTCCCTAAATTCACCTCGGTTTATTCCTTCTACAGCTGGTGGTCTCGTGTTTTTATTAGAGTCTCTCCATTCCCTCTACGATCAGACTCAGACGGAGATAGATGGAATCTGGTTTAATCGCGCATTATACTGTACATCAGTGGTTCCCAAAGTGTAGCGACCAGAAGAGTTACAGAATAAAATAAAAAATTCGTATTAACATATATTTATATTGTATTTGGGAAAGAAGATATATATGGGTCGCGGTTCCCCGGGGAGACGCGAGGAAAAAGCTGATTCAAAAGGGGGTCGTGGTTTCAAAAAGTTTGGGAACCACTGCTGTACAGTATCCTTTAAGAATAGCCTTCCTTTTTTTACAATTTCTGTACATACAGAATGAGTCAATAAGAAATACTATATAAAATAACTCACTACCTATTAGTTGCACCAAAAAACGTTTTTATGAATTTTATAGCATTTTAAGGGATGCATCGAATGGATACAATTACATCTTCTTACATCTTGGTAAACACAGCTCACCCCCGCTCCAATTCGTACTTTTATTACAATAGAAATGTTTCATGCGACATTATTCGTCGTTTATACATTTCTCGAAATTCATTGGCCGTATTCCCGGCTCGTTCTAAGTATAGAAAAAAGGATTTAGAAGAAAGTACCTAATAATAGATCTACAAAGTATTTTGGTGGGGGATCGCTAAGCCGCGATGAATTATCGAGCATTATGGAGTATTAATCCTCCCCGGTGTTCCAAACATATGTTTCTCGGAACACGGGGATTTCGTGGGACCTGTAAACATAACTAATACAACAGGGAATTTCACTTTAATCCCACCCACGAATGATAAGTCTCTCATTTTTTTCCATCAGAAATTCAGGAATAGACCGAACTCTCCTGGTAATCTGATAGTGTGTAATGCTGACGTGAAACGTTCACACGTGTTCTCAGCATCAACGAATCAGTATTGACCGCGTAAGGTCCCGTTTTACAACTAGACGACTCGTCAGCCATGAAAATCGCGTAGAAAAAAGTGTTGTATACAGCCGTAGATCGACGATATCCCGGAATTCCACGACATTCCAACGAGTGTATAGTTAATTCAACGTTTTACTCTTTTGCCATTTCCCATTAAGTATTCAGCCAGTGTATGTGTGGCTAGTTAACTAGTCCTTGGCGGATCACGTGTCGCGCAATGAACAAAAAAAAAACGAAAACAAAAGAAAGTCGTGTCTCCTTTTTTTGCTTGAAACGTGGTCAGATTTTCGACAAGTGGCCAGAATTCCTTTACGTGGCCTGCCAGGAATAGCGTTCATGAGGCGAATTCGGTTCTATCCAGGGCCTTGTATCGAGAAAATGCTGAACGTTTCTTATTCTTTCGTACTCCCTATTTCGTTTTTCTCGTATTGGTTCGAGCCACTCTCGATGGAACGTAGCAATAACAATAACGCGCCCGTCGTTTTCGCGGGTCGCGCGCAACAGGAAACGTCCCCTCCGGGGGCTTGGATAACTTCCGCTCGGGCGAAGCCACAGAACTGCCCCCTCTGCCTTTCCCACCTCGATCCTCTCGTGGCGGAAAATTTCAACAACGTACCCGTTCGTGAAAATCAAACGATCGAAATTTACTCTATGCTTCTGATGATTTTTCGCAGCCGTAACCTATGGTTTTGAAATTGTACGTTTGTACCCAGGGAAATTTAGGATTCTTAGGATTTTTAGGATTTTCAGAATTCTTAGGATTTCTAGGAACAAAAAACTTCTCTGGAATTTTAACATTTTAATCAGAAAGAGATAGAGAACAACAGTCATCCTCGAATTAATACAGTATCTTCATCTATAAAAATTCAAGTTAACTTTGTGTTCTGGTCGAGTCCATCCGGGTTTTCCCTCAACCCATTTCCGTCTAGAGGCCAACGAGTGGCTGCACGATGGTTACGGAAACTCGGCAAAAATTTTAGATCCTGCGGGAGGATACGGGAATGGGGGCGGAAGGGATGAAATCGGGTGGATCCAACCCTCGTTTCGCCACCATCGAGGGGATAGTCGATATAGTGAAATTATGTAAAAGGTTGTGGGAGTCCCTGAATGGTGCCAAAGAATATAAAAGGGAGGCGACACATTTCGGAGGGCCTGACTGGTGCGCCACTTTTCTCGATGAAACAAATCTGCGCGCGCGGCAGTAAAGAGAGCGTCTCGTAAGGGAACCGGTAATAACGATAATCCCAAACAATATTCGAGTTCCTTTAAGGGAAGAATACCTTAGAACTGAGACCATCGAACCGAGTCGAGCGGAATAAGCCCTGTCGATAAGGCTCCGTAACATATGTATTCTACTCCATGACGATTGCTATGGGACTATGAAATATGCTTCCGTCTTCTTTTATCTTCGTTTTCGTCTCGTATCCTCTGGGATTGAGATTGAAATTACATGAGGTCTACTAAAAGTACTTGCTAGTTACGTAAATACGAAGAAAAGTAATTGCTTTCTAGGTAAATATCAAGAAAAGTATAAGTACTTTCTTAGCAAGATCTGCATAAAATCTCCATTCTGTCGTCTTGAAACTTTAGTTTAGTGATTTTATCGTTTAGTAATTCTATAGTTGAAGTAGGAATCGATGGAAAACTTGAATGAGACTTCTGAAACTTTTTACTATACTGAATTTTCGGTGATTGGATATTTTATAAATGCATAAAATCCTCAGTCTATGAATGATATTCCCGACATGTACGACGCACACATCGGAAGATACACACACCCGGAGGAATAGACGCCTCTTGATGTCCACCGAGCCGGATGATTATTTCAAGCGATCGATTATCAACGGCGCCAGCACCCGCGATTCGGAATTTATGTACATTATCCTCGGCGAACATCCACGGTTTTATCAATGAAACGCGGGATCGGGCGCGTTGGATTTTCCATAGGAGGCCCCTGAACCGGAAATCATACCTTAACTCATCTCCCGTATCTGGCGTGGTTCGTTGCCACGAGCGTCGTACATTACTGGATGGTAAAAGCATCCCTTCCCATCGGGGATATGAAATTCTACAAGTATAACATCGGTTGACTAGTGATATTTCATTCTTAGAATACGCAACTGTTGATAATAATTGGACCATTGCATATGAAATTTGTTTTATTAATTATTTTGTTGTTTATTATTTGTTATTGATTCATTGAATTTTATTAGTTACACTGTAAATATTTACGTTTCGCCATTAAATACACGGATGTTCATATAATTGTTTTTGGAAACCTTAGTTCTTGGGAGTATGTTTTTAATCTGAAACCAATTTTTAGTAAATGTTATTCACTGCAGCCTTCTTAATTAATGCTTTTTTCTGGTAAAAAATAATCTCCGCCAAAATCGTAAATAACATTTTACGGAGTTTATCTTTGAAAGTGACTTGTTTCTTTTAACAATGGAAATTAGTCGAAGATCGTTTAAACTGAATTTAGACAGGGAAAATGAGGGTATCTGCGGGTCGAGACATTTACATAGCTTTGTTTAACATGTACAGCTACAATAGATCGTAAACAGTGAAATTATGTTACTACGGGATGAGATAAAGTTTGTATGTTCAACGTATACACTATCTGAGCAAACACGTGTATCGCAGCCACGTAATTCAGAGTTTATTGGGCTCACGTATGTTTGATGAACTTCAAGTCTAGAATTGAATTAATGTCTTCATCTAAAGAGCCTTACACAAGCAAATTTTATATTATTCTTCAATAACGAGTATACATTACTGATCGAAAGTTAACCTACTCCTGATTTAATACAAAAGGAAAATTTATCGACCATTCA